AGCAGCAGGACAATTATCCATATGAGGGACAGAAGATAGGAATTTATACTTAACTAGGTTGGAATTTAGAAGTATTTCCTTTGACTATAGCAGTAATCAGTGTTATAAAAGGGGATACAGAAAAAAAAAAAAGATGCCCATCCAATAGTATTTTGCTACCATTATCAATGGTGGCCTTATTGCCAAAAGCATTTTTTGTTTGCTCCCAACGTTTTGATTTTGCTCCCCCAACTCTCCCAGTTGAGAAGGAACGCCTCTGTCACCAGTGAGCACCATCCTACTTCATATAGTGGAACCAGGTGTCTTGTGGCAAGTTTCGTTGTATTTCAAATGATTTTTTGCCTGCACTATTTAGCATAGAGAGTAACTTGTGATGGTTCTGCATCTTTTCCAGAAATGCTTGCTCTAATGCTGCATTTGTAATTAAAGAAGCCCATTTGCCATTTCAGCTCCTGGGAGACCTGCAGCTCGGAAATTTAAAGTAGGTCCCTGGGCTCCAGTTAGCTACCAGCTTGCTTGCAAGAATGACTTTTAAGAATGTACATCTCTTGCCTCATTCAGAAGAGCTAGTGGTTGAGCTCAGGTAGATGGGGTTATGTTCTCCTTCGTTTCTGTATTGAAGGCTTCATCAAATGAAGTGATTACAGTTGGGATACAGCATGAATCTTCAATCTGATCTGCCTGCAAATTGCTGCATTGTGTCATAGTAAGGGACGATGACTAAACGTCATCTGACAGCAAGAAAAGACAGAGGGAGAACCCTTTGTCATGGTAATAGCTCTGCATTCACTGATGAAAGAGCTGTCTCAGAGGAGTGGGTCTTTCCAGCTGGCTGTGGGCTGCTGCAATAACAAGTATTAATAGATCCTGCAACCAGATGGATTCTGTGGAACAAAAAACACCTCTCCACACATCCTTGCAGGCTGTCTCACCTTCTTTGGGTGTGAAGGACTGCTCCCCATGTGCCATCCTGCTGGTCATCTGGCTACATGGTGTTGGCCATGTCACACAGTAGTATTTTTGGGGTAGGTGTGAGCAAATTGGGCTGACACAGAACAGTGATGTGGAACAGTCTGCCTGTGGGAGTAAGTGCTGCATCTTGGATAACACTGAACATGATTCACAAGGAATGAGATTTTAACTCTTGGGTGTTTCGCACTGCAGAAGCATGTTTCAAATTTATTTTATTTTGTTGGCTAGAATTACAGTTGTTGCTGCTTCTGTGGTGACAAGTACAATCACTCTTGACACTGCTTTGAAATGCTTAGGAAATAGGGAATAGAGTCAGTGTTCAAGGTGATGGCAGACAACTCCGTTCCTCAGACTGGCGCTGCGATGCAGACATGACTAGATTACACTGCCTTGCTGCTCAGATGGACTCCTCTACAGAGCCCTGGCAAGCCATTTATCTTGGAGACAAAAAGAGAAGCCTGACTGCAGGAGGCCCAGCTTTGTCAGTCTTCTGCAAGCACTCCTGGTTTGTGTATCTGTTACCTGTCCTTGGAGAGTGAGTAGATGATATGCTTCTGGCAGCTCTCACTTGACTGAGGGTCCTCACTATAGATGAGCTAAAGGTGCTAGTAGACACAACCAGAAAAACTAGGAGCTAGTGGTATGTAGTCGGAGGCGTGGTGTGCTCACATGAGCTGAAGTCAGACTTAAGGCTGGTGCATCAGGTGGAACTGGGATCGCAAGTCGAGACAAAGGAAGTTGAAGCCACAAGAAGAGATGACAGCGAAGAAGGATGGACAGTACTGCAAAAGAGCGCATGTGTGAACTTTGAAGTGGATTTGGGAGCTGTGTGAAGCATAAGGTGGATCTGGGACAGAAATGAATCACGCTAGGCTGGTTCTTGGAGTCAGTTGGATAGCTGCTCCAGGTCTCAGTAGTTATGGCAAAAATGCTTGTAGTGCACTGAGGATGATTATTTTTGTGCTTTGTAGCACTGGGAGTGCCTTTAGTAATATTTAGTTCAAAACACTTTGAAAACTTACTTAAACATTTATCAAGATGATGTTAAGTAAGAGATAGGAAGAAAGCTCGTAAAAGATAGCCTTTGAATTCAAAGCTGCAAAGAGTGGCAGCACTGAGAACAATGTAATCCAGCAGCTTGAGGTTGATAGACGGCTTCCCTGAAGCAGTGAACCTTTCATGGCAAATCCCACATCCTGTATACCTGTTTCACCCTGAGGAAATGCTGTCTGCTTTGGAGAGGCATCGAGTACCACGTCTCTTATACGGAGCTGCCTCGTGAATGCCGCTTGTTTGGTCAGGTTTTTATGTACAACATGATTAGGTGATACAGGAAGATATCCTGAATAGCCAAACAGACAGGAAGCTGCTAACCCAGGTAACGCAAAGGCAGGCATTGCAGTACTTCCAGCACTGTTAAGGAAGTGGGAGTGGTAATCTGTGATAAATTCATTGAATCCTTGGTTTTTGGCTTTGATCTCTGCCTCAGTTCTTACTCCATGTTGCGTAAGCACATCTTGTTCATCTGTAAATGAAATGAGTATGCAATAGAAGTAAAAAAAAAATGAGTTTACAGAAAGCACATTTTAGTGCAGGCCTAAATGATTTCCCTTAGTGTTTATTTTTAGCTGGGTGGGTAACCCAGCTTGTGGCTTGTAACCCACAAGCACCTCTCTCATTCTTTTTTGATGCAAATTAGGCCTCCCACACCATTAAATCGTTTTTTACTGACTATTGAGCCTGTGAAGAAATGGATTGAACTTTAATATGCTACATTACTGTACCATAAAATACAATTTGTAGATCTTATTCAGATTCTGTGTTGCTGCACTTCCTCTAAATAATTGTTATTACCGAAGAAGATTTAGAGGCACCGTTGAAAGAAAGAATAAGTACTCCCTTTTTTCTATGCATTGAATCACAGGCTGTGCATGATTTCACATCTAAACCACCTTGCTCCTCGTGCTTTTTTGAAATTAAACAAGTCACATTATGCTGTTAGTTGCTAATAGAGATTTTAATACAGCAGCAGCCAGAACTTCTGCTGCCTTCAAATAGTGCCAGGATTTCACCTCTTCTTTTGCTCTGCTAGGGCTGTGCTAAGTGTTTATCTTCAGGCTGTGAATCGTCACTTTGCACATCTCCATCCTCATTATTACCACATGTATAGCATCAGCTGCTGCACAGCTCTTGGCAGGAAAATGCTCTGTTCTTGGGAAGCACAAGTAAAATGCTGTCCTCCCACAAACTCTTGAATAAGGTTGTGCGCATACTCAGCTTGACAAGATGGATGGCCTTCCTTTCTGCTATTAGATGGCTGCACCCTCTTGGAGCCGAAGAAGGGGATGCATACTGAGATTTTGTAATGATTAACCAGACAGAAATGTATATGAGTCACTTTTTAAGTACATCGCTCTTACCAAGGAGCTGTTGTGCTCATGTTGACAGCCTCAGAGAAGGATGTTTATCTGAAGTACAACTTTGGGAGGGCTAAGAAATATTCCAGCTTTTTATCGATGTTGTCTCACTCTGCTCTCAGGAGGAGCACTTAGATCTGGGTGTTAAGCCATGCTGCCACCTCAGTGGACATCATGGTCAGCATGCCAGCAGCAGGGCTAGCTGTGCTCCCAGGCTCACATCTGATGGGTTGAGGAGGAGCCTCCTCTGTTCAGGCAGGGCTGGTGCTGGGATGCTCTCCTGCTTGCCTCTTGGCCAGCAAGCTCCATGTCAGTATGCCAAGTCCCCAGAGTCTTCATGGTCTTCCTAGCACTCCAAAACTGTCAGTTTAAGAGCTGTACAAGAGACCTAATTTTTAAAGCTACTTTACTCCCGCACAGAGTCTTTCTGAGAGCATACCTTTGAAAGTAAGGGCATTTAAGGTTGGATCTAAATTCAGAATTGTTTATCTAACTCTGGAGCCTGAACTTGTCATTTCAAATTGAACTCTAGAGCTGTCAATACCTACTTCACTACCACATCACTTAAAAAAAAAATAAAGGGACTTCAAATTTTTCCAGTAATAAGGGATAGAATGCTAACAGGTTATGGACTAAAGGGTGATGTACAAAGAGAAAATTATTTTATGTACATGCATGGATATACACACACCTGCCTATAAAAAAACAATTTCCCTTTTCATTTGTGTGTCGATGAAAATGGAGTATCACTTCTGAAGCCTGCTAGAATTTAATGCATATGAAATCCTGAGAAGTTCTAAAATCTAACAATGAAATACATTTAGAAATTTGTTTAACTTAAGAAAACAAACAAACTGACAGTCAAACATCTCAGTGTGGCTTTGTAAGAAAAATGCCAGCATCATTGCTAAGAGATGAGAAAGCAAATTACTGAGCAGTCTCTTCCAAAAGCTGCTTTTTAATTTCTGTAGAATATGTGTGAGGAGGTAAGTTTGTGAATGTGCCATATAAATAAGTCTCTGTGATGTAAGCCTTTGGATTTTAATGGAGACTTTGAAAACTTCAGAGACAGCTATTTCGTAAACTAGACAAGTAAGCAGAGGAAAAACACTTTTAATTATTTTTTCAAAATATGGAAATACTCTTTTGAATAAGTTATTTAACATCCAGCTTGGTCAGATGTGTTCTATTACTCTGACATGTTTAAACAACTCAGTAGACAGTAATGGCTTATTCTGTCCTCTGTTTCCACAGATTACTTGGAAACACACATGATGACTCCAAGTGGCCACCAGCCCTGCTTCCTCAGAGCTCAGTTCAGCACATGTTTACATCCCCTCTGAGGAAGCGCTCTGGTGTATCACTAAGGCCATCCTCTCTCAACATCTAAAGAGGTCCGTCAAAGTCTGTGTAAAGACTTTAACATTACAGAATATCCATTTACTGTCTCCACTTTGTGTTAATAAACACTAAATAATCATAATAAGCACTGTGCAGGATGGTGACCTCGTGGTTTAATATGTTTAAGGAAGATGATACATAGTTAAAATGAAGAAAGGTGTCTAAATTATTTCAACTAATGGTAGGGTGTTTTTGTGTTATTTTTTTCAGCTGAACTTTTCATGGAACAGCAGCATCTCAAGGAAGCAGGCTTTTGTATCCAGGAGGCAGCTAGTCTTTTCCCCACATCTCATGCTGTACTGTACATGCGTGGGAGGCTTGCAGAGATGAAAGGCAATTTGGAGGTGGCTAGGCAATTGTATGATGAGGCGCTCACAGTGAATCCAGATGGAGTCGAAATTATGCACAGCCTGGTGAGTTTGCAGGGGCTCAGCTCCATTATCGTATGTACATTCATGATTAACTGTAATAAGATGGAAGAGGGTTCATGCTTGCTCTGAATGCCACTGTCTTCCTAATCCTTACAGCAAGTGACTGTTTCGAGAGTAAATGGGGTAGCCTGAACATCTATTTTAAGATTAGATCAAATGTTTTTAACTAATTAGTACTTGATCAAAAATAAATACTTTAATTGACAAATGCTGATAGTTTTGGAAATTCTCTGCTTGATCGTCCTTACTACTTTTTCTACTACCTGTTATGCATTTTAAATAAGGAATGTATTGATGTTAAGAAGATCTGAAATAACAGCTATATAGATATATATGGGGTTCGTAAACCTTGAGCCAGAGTCATGTCTATTCACATGAAGACAAACTATGAGTTCATGATAAAACTATTGTCTTAAGCTGGGGCTTAACTCCAATCTTTTATAGGAGCAGTGACTCCCTATTTGATGCTCATGGGTGGGTTTTTTTGGTAGCATTCCTATCTGACAAATATTTTTTTCTGTTGCACCGTCCCTAAAACACACTTAGAGACATAAGGCCTATGCTTTCAGGTTGTTGTTGCTATCAATTTATTATTATTATTATTATTGCTATTGTTATTATTATACAAGATGCTGTGTAGAGGCTTAAAACCCACTTAATTTATGAAATCAGATCTTTTAATTGTATTTCATCAGTGATGTATCTTGTTAACTATAGCCCTTATTGTGTCTCGAGTTTTATAAGACTTTCTTGACCAGTTTAATTTTTACAGGAACTGTATATCCAGGTGACTACTTTATGTCTTTGCTAGCAGAGCTGTATTCTCTGGTGTCAATTTAAGCATGATAAGGTTTGCAGACAACTTCAAAACTGAAGGGCTATCAGTGCACAGGAGGACAAACGTATAGTGAAGTGATGATCAAGAGAAAGTAGTAGCTCCTACAGGCAAGGGAGGAGAAAGCTATAAGAACTTTTGTTCAGTGCAAAACCAGTAAAAGAATAGCTACTGCATTTGTCAGGAGGAGGTCACAAAACAGCCATGCACATGCCATACTCATATGCTTAATGGAACAGTAGAATTTACTTGGTTGTGATCCGACCTTTGCACAATCTAGAAAGCCAGAATGATATGCTCTGCTTAGTTATTGTCATGATTTCAGACAAGTAACCAGTATTAGGCAAGCCATCGAGTTAGATGCCAACATGGTATAAATACATCTCATTTTTGTCTTACTTCGTGAGCAAAGCCACATACTGTGTCATCTCATTTCAGTTACTTGCAATTTTCTGAAACTGTAGTCATTTGGAATAACATTTTCTGAGATGCTCAGTTTTCTTTGGAAAATGTCACCCAGCATGGCTTAACTCTTTCTGAAAATGAGGCTAAAGAAGAGGCTTTAAAGGTTTCTGTGATGTCTTCTTTATTGAGCTGTGATGTTCCCACTTTCTGTCAGATGTGAGTGGTTTTCATAACATATTAATGTGCTTTTCTTAAGAAAATCCTTCCAAGGTCATCCAAGTTACAATCTTTAATAAACACGTTTTGTGTACGCTTAGTAGATTAGTATTTCTAAACTCTGTATAGATACTCTTTTCCCTCAAGACCCGGTAAGTGCCACCATCTCTTAGTGAAGGTATGGGACTAAGATCAAGGAAGAGGCAAAGAAGACAGAGAGATGCAGAATTTGAGTGTAAGGACTAAATTTATGAACAAACAGGGAAAAGGAAAGGCATAATAGTGACGGAGAGAGAGAAGGATGGATAGTAAAGTAGATGCAATAAGTGCAATAAGGTAGATGTTGCTAGATATGGCTGGACAGATGAGAAGAATGAGACTGGATTAAGAAACCAGGCGAGGCATATGAGGAACTGAACCTGTGAGAGTACTTCTACTCCACAGCTCTTGGTCTCCATAAAATCTTTCTGTTCTGGTATCAGTAAATACCGGTGAAAATGACTTGTTTATCCGTGTTCCTCATCTCCTTTAGCTTGGCATGCTGGCAGCTGATGGTTTACACCTGCTAGCTGCGATATCAAAAGGCTGGTCTATCTCTGCTGAGATGAAGCACAGCAGTAGTTCTAGGATGCCACGTAACGGCTTTCCTTTCTGTGCTTTTCCAAAAGTGAGGAAATTGCGCATAGCAAGTTTGAAGCATCTGATGAGCACTATTGAAAAGCCTATACAGAAATTAATCATTCTGCCTTCAGAATAGAGCTTGAATAACGCATGGTAAACAAGGCTTTTATGGACTATGCATTAAAAAGAAAGGGCAAAAGTAAAATATTGAGAGGCTGCTAGCTATGTGAATGTCTTGTATACTGAATGAGACAGTGTCCTCATGGAGAACTTAGATGAGATTTAGGTAATTGAAGATGCAGCGAAGCAAGTGGTGAAGAAGGTGAATTTTGCACCTCTTTGAGACCATCAAAAGAAAGCTGAATACCTTTCTGAAAGGTATGTGTTAGATAAATACTAGCCATGCTGTTATTAAAAAAACAGGTTCTTGGGTATAGCTGATTCTTCCACCTACTTGAGGGAAATGTGTGACTTAGGTTATGCCAGAGGCCAAATTGTATTATCAACTAGGTACAAGGGACTTAAAGCTATCCAAGCGGAATACACAGACAGCTGACATTAAATTCACATGCAGTTTCAATGCTGGTCTCCAAAAACATTTGAGCACTTAGTTGTTACTGTGTAATGATTTAGGGAAAGTGGAACTGGTTATGAGAACTACTGTCTGACTTAGTGCAGTTGCCATCCAACTGGCCTAGTCCACTTTAAGGGAAAACCGCTGTAGACAGTGCTGGTTCTCCCTGGTGTACCAGCATCAATTAGCAAAGTAGTCATGTCTCTTCCCCTGGGCTCCCAGAACTGGGTTGTCAAAGCTATATTTGGAAAGTTCCAACTTGAAGAGTGTTGCTGGCTGTAAATGAAGGGCACAGATGTAGCAATGAATGCGTCCACGGGGTGTCAATAACTTTTACTCAGGGCAGAGTCACCACCATAATAAACACAAGCTCTCTCTGCACAGCTGAAAACAATTGTGTTTTACTGTGACCGTAGGTGTTTACAATAGCTGTCAGTTTGGTGTGCTTTCCTTACAAAGCTCCCTTCTGCATGGGAGCTGCAGGTGCAGCAGGGATGTGTTGCTGGGTGTCCCTGAAGAGATGGGCAGCACACTCAGCCTCACTGCAAGGTTCTTGGCAGCTCTGGTGTTTGATACTGTGGTAAGCAAACCACGGGCACGTAGGAAATACTAGACTAGGAGCAGTGCTGCTTCCTGCCAGAACTTGCAGTTTGTAAGTGGTGCTGCAGGATCCTTAAGCTCCTGCTGAGAACCCATCAATGGCCTTTACAAAGTAGATATTAAAGAAAGCTCTCATTGAAAAGTTACTGTCATTGGGAAGAACATAGACAATCAGGCTTTGGGGCTATTTGGAACTTATCAAAGAATCAAATTATTCCTGTTGAAGTATAGAGTTATCATGTGGTTTGATTTGCTGTCAGAAACAGGCTGGCTTGATACCTAGAAATTGTACATGCTATAGGAGCACAGCTCTCTTCAGGAAATAAGCCTTCCATGTTTCTCCTCGTTCATACATTTCCATCTTCCCTCCCTTTCTATAAGAGTTCCATTCTTGTCAAAATAAGACTTTCTGGGGCCTTTCCTGCAAGAATCAGCCCTGTAGACGGGCTAGTGAGATAGATGTCTTCACTGATGCACAAGGAAGAGCTTATCCCTTACCCCCTCATACTGCACAGTGACTTGACAGCTCTGTCACATCCTAATCAGTTTGCCAGCATATTTCAAAACCCAGTAGCAAATGCTTATTTCTCTCATTACGTACCTAATACATAATTCATTACATACGTAGCTTTGGGACAGTGGTAACAAAACTGTTGTGTGCCCAACCAAGTCAGAAAATGAAACATAAGCTGCAACAGATGACGCTCCCTTATAAAGCAATATATGACTCTATCTACATGTATGTCACTGAGGAAGAATGTTGAAGTTTGCTAGTTCCCAGTAACTGGTGCCTTGAGCACCATTCTCCCTTTTGATTCAGAGAAGGGAAAAATCAGTGCCAGTGTGTTGAATTTGAGTCCAAATGCTCAGTATGTAACACTGTAATACAAACTAAAAACATTCTGAGATATTCAGAAGACTCTTGCCCAGCAAACATCTCACATAGCAGAGATGTTTCACAGAGCTAGAAAAAAAATTAACATTTTAAGGGAAGGAGAAGGAGAGACATGTATTTCAAAAGGAAGGAAATGAGCATTTTCATCTCCCTCACTACATCAGAGTTAATGAATACAACCTGGGACTTCCTGAAGTAGATGTAGGTTTTATTTGTTTAGTAATCCACAGTACATTACTCCTTTGTGAGCTTGTCCTGTCTGGAGCCTGTGTTAGTTTTCAGATTCGCAATGCCCTTCAGCAAGGAGGCTCACGGGTCTGTTCTCTGCTCTGTAACCTTGTATGTCAAATTTTGTATGTTCCTGCTGCAGCTCCTCCCAGCCACACTGATCCATTTCATGTTCCCCATTCTTCCTGTGGAAGATATTGCACGCCATCGTTTGTTATTCATCCCCTGCTGCTATTACTGATTTCATAGATAACTGAGACAGAACTGATCCCATTTCTTTCATTATTGTATTGCCTCTCTCTACACTCTTTACAGTTCTTTCTTAGATGAGAAAACTTAAGCAAATAGCACACTTACAAAAAATACTGTGTTTAATATTTAGCTTAGCTTCAAAGACAGTGGTGTAGATTCAGTGTGTAAAGAAAACACCATATTATCCTTTGGTCTTCTACTCATGTAAATTATTACCGATATGCATTTCCATACAAATACAGCAGACTAGTTCAATTGCTTTGTATTAACCTGATCTCATTACGGAAGCTCTATTTCCATCTCCTGTGTCTGTTGGGGCTAGTTTTGTTGGCTTTTTTCTGAAAGGTCAGCAGCTC